GTGTGTGTATGTGTGTGTGTGTGTGTGTGTGTGTGTGTGTGTGTGTGAGAGAGAGAGAGAGAGAGAGNGAGAGAGAGAGAGAGAGAGAGAGAGAGAGAGAGAGAGAGAGAGAGAGAGAGAGAGAGAGAGAGAGAGTGGGGCGCCGTTAAGTGTTTGCTGCGGTGGGACTGTGGCGTGCAGGCAGTTATTATTACGGAGTGAAAGAAGTTGAAGAAAGCAATACAAGCATAGCAGTGGTGGCTCGCTCATATGTATAAGGATGACGGGCATAAATGTACTATTAAATCAAACATGATACATCTGTCCGAATTTGGCCTGAATTATCAGGGATTCCGAATTATTTTGACATTGCTGACCAGTGCTGTAAGGATTGGAGATTGAAAATTTTGGAAACTTTGAAAAACAGAGAACGAAAACTTCGAAAAGCAATCTGTTTATTATTATATAACTATATAGCTTATAAGAGACTCAAAGAGAGGCACTATGGCCAAAGTTGCCGCAAATCCAAGATGATTCTGAAAGAAATTCAAGAAGCCATAGATAGAACTCAGGATTTAGCTTCGCAATCAGGAATTTAATGCTGAAGATTTTCAGAGCCTTTAAGGCTTTAACTCTTTATCGACATGTTTCGGAACATCCGTTAAAATTTGGAATGATGCAGAGAAGGGTGATTAGCATGACCCATGCGCAAGGATGACACACATAAATGATCGCGAAATGGTCCAAATATTAAGAGGGAAAAAAAAAAGAACCCAACTCTTTGTCGACAAATTGTGGCCAAAATCGAAATGCCCACGTCGAATTGGCGTAGCAAAATTCTAAAGGAAGTCTTAGAAGATCTCTAAGAAACAGCACCTCTCCCCACTGGCGGCCCCAACCCTATACCCTAAACATTAGGGGCAAGGGGCAACATGAAATCTCCCCTTCACAGTGAGAGGAAACTATGCTTGCAGGGGTCCCCTCTAGATAGCCTTAGGAGTCGGTAGTGTAAGGCAAAAACAGAAGTTGAGAGAAGAATATAGAAAGAAAATAATAATAAAAAAAGAAACAGCACCTCTAATCTGCGTAATATCATGTAATGATCTAACAAAATCTTACGAGCTTATACTGTTGGAGAAGTAAGTCGGAGGCTTAAATTCAATTTGGGAGAACGCGACCCCCCGGAATGCAGGGGCGAGGTCCCACTAGCAACATGGATTGGATCGAACGCCGGAATCTAGACCTGTTCCTGGAAAAGTGCAGAAATTCGAGATTGAACAGCGTTTCTGCATCTCTGCGTCAAGGGCCGGCCGGGGTGGAAAAGGGCAGACCAACGACTTACAGAAGTATAAATCAAGAGGCAGCTTCCAGCCATTCATTCATTCGCTGTGTAAGCCATGCGGAAGCGCTGCCCCAGTGTCTTGTGCGAGGTGGTCTGCAGGTTGCCCGAAGTCGAAGTGGGCTGAAGAGAGGCAGGGTGTCCATAGGCAGCAGTAGCCGGCGGCCATAGCCGCCATAGCGAGTGTTAGGAGTTAGTGAGTGCGTACGAGTGTGTGCTACAGTGAATGTGTGTGGGTTATTCAGGGTGATCCAAAGTTGCGTGTGTGCGAACAGTGGTGTTGGACACAGTAACGAGAGTTGGGATGTACAGGCGCTGATGCGCCATAGCCTGTTGAAGCGAGTTTGCATCTGAACTGTGTTCGCAGTTTCCATATCTCTCTGAGCTTTGAGTGGGCGCTTGGCGCCATTGTGAATCACCATCTGTTTGCATGGATGTGAACCGAAGAAGAAAGCGAGTCTGATTGCAGAAGGCGTCAACGCTATTAATGTGGCCTAACCCAGCCCAGATGGCTGACTGAATGCTACAGTAACTCACTTATAACTATCAGTCAACAGCTCATGAGTTCACGTCCTGATGCCATCAGATGAATATATACCCCCTCCATTCTATAACTTACCCCTTCCATTTTCACACTTACCACCTCCATTTTAACACTTACCACCTCCATTTTGAAATAAGAGACACTACTGCCGTGTTTATAGTAACTCTATACCCCCTCCATTCAAAAACTTACCACCTCCATTTTGAAACCAAGTTAAGAGACACTAAATTAAATGCCGCGTACTAGTTCATGATATTAAGATGCATGTTGCCTGTTCTTGGAGACTTCAAGTTGCGTACTGATGGTCAGTGATCATGGTCCTGATGGAGTAAGTCTTAATATGGCCAGATTCCAATCGTGCTATCACGAATCCATTCCTGTTTACAACCAGGTTCAGACTTTCTGAAATTCTGAGCACAAACATAGCCTCACTGGAATCTGCCCCTTACCCAAAGAGTGTAGGATGCAGAGAACACAGGGCAGCCTGTCAGACAGACTAGTAAGTCTTGCACAGGCATCTGTCCACCCCCGCTTTTTTTTTTTTTAAATAATTGAACCCCTGCTCGTTGAGGTTGATAGAGAGAGGACAGAGGGCAGTGGAGTCTTCTTCCAATGCGTTTTTTACTTCTTTCAAAATCCCAGCTTGAGATTAAAAACTGCCAGTTGAAGGCTGTGTCACCGAACTTACCCAATTATCTGCCTTTATCCTACTCTTCGCTACGCAGCTCCCCTTTTGTTTTTTGTTTCTTTGTTCTTAAAGCTCCGATCTATTCGTGTTCGTGAGGAGCAGAACTTGCTGGGAAGCGGGCCCAGCGTCCCTTGGACCCTTATGAAATGAACATCATTTTGGCACATAATAATGATTTTAGAAATTCTTATCCCCTCTCTATGCAGCCCCAAAGTGGGGAGATGATGTTTTCCCTCCTTTTGTCGTTCACTGTCCCTTAAACCTCATACACGGCCCAAGCCTTGCTGAAAATGCAACTCGTCGCCTAGGAAAGTTTCTGTGGCCCCGGCTCGGCCTACCGGCCCGCAATTCGCTGGCGTGCCAGCCAAAGAAAGAAAGAGAGAAACCCAAGAGCCTAGCTCAGTGGGTACACCCATGAACTGTTGAAATACACAGACCAGGTCCTGTGTTCGAATCCAGATGATGGAACTGGATGAGTGAAACCAACTACTACTAATGAATTTGAATAGCCTGGGGCCGGTCAGCTCAATGATAATATCTCAAAGCCGTCGCCCTTTAAAAAAAAAAAAAAAGGGAAAAAAAAAGAAAGAGAGCGAGCCCCTGGCGGTTCGGAAAAGCTTGGCGCACAGTAAGGCGCCTCCAGGCCCGGGTGTGCTGGTGGTTTAAGGTAAGTGTGACAAGCCCCCTCTTAGAGCCAAAAGCTCCTTGTTCCTCACCTGAGCCCCCCATAATAAGGAGGGCAGCATTAATGTCCATCTCCTTTGTAATCGTTTAGCTGTCCTCCACCCAGCGCCGCCCCCCCCCCCCCCCCCCCCCCCCCCCCCCCCCCCCCCCCCCCCCCCTATGCTTCCCCATCATAAAGAGACATCCTTCTCTCCATATATGTTGACCAACCTGTCCTCATCTCCCAGGCTGTGCAACATGAAATGGAACAAGCGATTGCCAGGACACGAACGACGTGTGATTGGGCCCCCCTGTATGGGGGCTGACGAAAAGAACAGAGCACATAGTTGGTGTGCTTGCGAAAGCATTTCGAAGCTGTAGCTTGTGAAAGAGTGTACTAGTTGTAGTAGTTGGTGTCCTGACGTGATGGCTTAAAGATAGAGCGCTGTACCGGAGTCGATGCATCATGAGTGATCACATGTCCCTTAACTTCTTAAGTTAAGTTGAATATCATAGGGAGAAGGAGCGGACTCCAAGACAGTGATTTGCAGAGCTAATGAGGTG